CTTCCCAAAGTGTCGCAGTTTTGGTGTGTTCACCCTTTACATTACATCAAAAAATTCCGTCGACATTATTGTCATATAGAAAGCGAATCGCTGATTTTTTTGTCGAATTCTTTTTTTTTATTAACTTCAAAGTAATACAAGACAAGCAAAGAGAAGCAAGTAAATACTACCCTTTAGTTTAATTTTCGCTATTTTACAGGTATCTCAGGATTAAGTGAATTCTTATGTTTGAGAGAAGGAAATTCGTGTTAATATTTATGTTGTCCGATACCTAAGAATATGGATGATCCATATATAATAAAAAATCTGCGAAACCTGAGAAAAAATAATTTTCCCCTTGGTTTCGTTTTCGGTGATTTGGGTCATACTTCGGCTTTTGTCATATGATCTATTTCGGTTTTGAACTGAAACTGTGCATTACTTCATCTTTATTATATGCTTTACTTCGGTTTTCAATCGAAACTGCATCTAGGCATTATTTCGGTTTTTTTCATATGCATTATTTCGTGTGCACAATTTCAGGGTGCCTCGCAAAATCGTTATAAACAGGTCTATTCTGCACGTTACCGAAGATTTTGTAACCGGAAAATGGTATAACCAAAAAATGTTACCAGTTCTTGTCACCGCGATTCTAGGTACGTTGGTAATGCAGTTAAAATATTCAGCAATTCAGCTATGAAGAATTGTGCAAATCCTGGCATTGCATATTTCACGGGGCAATAATTTCCTACCAGCTTATGAGATGGTAACAAAATTTACCCGTTACAAGAGTATACAGAATGCGAAAAGGGTTTAAAAATTGACAGGAACTTTATTTACCGGTTACAAACTTTTTATTAGCGCAGAATAGACCTGTAAAACAACAGATTTGTAAAATAATGGCTAGACAAAATACCGCCTATCAAGGCAATGCCTTCAAAAAATCGTTTTTTCGTTCTCCTGTAAAATTTCAGTGCCGAAAAATGGGCGCTTTTGCAAAAACATCGAAGATATGATTCATTACCTCTCCAACGATACCAAATTTTTGTAATTATAGAAGGAATAATGATCTTATAAGGATCTTTTCATCCAACTTGGCAGTTTTATCGATATATGCCACGCCAATAATTTTTAAGAAAGCAATTTTGTTAAGTCCATTTCTGTCAGTTATAGTATGAAATTAGGCTGTATGCAAAATTTTAGCCAAATCGAAGGCCACTGAAAACTTTTTGAAGTTTAGTGCACTCTCTGCAAGCTTTGAAACTTTTATTTTTAATGAAAATTATTAAAAACAAATAGATAAGCAAAAGTTCCAAACAATACCATTTTAAATTTTGCTACTATTTTATTACTCGCAGCTTTACATACACATGAATACTGATCACATAATCATTATGCTCTATTTGTAATTTTTAGGGTACCTCTGGGGTTGGCATGCTCTTGCTATCGCCTACTGGGTCAAAGTAAAACTAGTCGTAGTGGGCTTCTTCGTCGGCAGCGCAGTATTCGTCGCCCTACGGTATGTCTGGCCAAATAAATGTTCTACTGGGATTGTACACGACTCACCCACTATTGTGTACGACCGCCCGCCGTAAGTGAATTTATTAATTAAATAAAAACCAATTATGTATTGCTTTTTGATTTAATATTTTTTTTTTTGTTAATTTCTTAGTCCATCATTTGCTCAGGATCATGTACCATATTCTCTCGACCATTCGCCCCACTTCGATCATTCCTTTAGTAGTTCAGATTCAGTTGATCCTTACTCTGGCTACGCCGGTTCGTATTCAGAAGATATAACTGCTACTGCAGAAGTGGTACCGCCAACAGGGCCAGGTACACATCGACTTGGGCGACGAAGTGTGCGTCAACAGATAAATACGTCACAGCAGCGGCAACAAACAGAGCGACCAATGAAAATGGAGGAAAGGTACATTAACACATTTTAGTTCTGAAGTTAAAATCCTAGATTAAAATTTATTTTATTGTTAGGATTGCAGAATTAATGTTTGAGTTTTTGGGCTTGGATTCACATGCTTGTCGCCGACGCTTTATTTGTGAAATGGAGTTCCGTTCCCGTTTGAATCCACTCAGCAACATGGCTTTCCGTATTGTAGGTCGTGGATTTTTCGAAAAATATCTGAACGCAAGAAATGAACATGACCAAGCGCATTCGTTTACGGAATGTGCCGCAGTTAATCCCGAGTGCGTTTTTATCGAGCAAAACGTGGACGAAGATATTACATCCGCGGGTCAAAATGGGTTAAAACTACAGACTGCGGCTGTTGAAGCAGCTAATAAAATCGATGGTAGTTCAGTGGAAAGCGAGAACGGATTGAATGAAGAAAGTCAAAATGAATCGAATCTGCAAGCCGAACTTCGGCTTAAAAAACAATTTAAACACATTCGTGAGCAGCAAAGGACGGTCTCCTCTACGCATGAAAAGCTTTAGACAAATTAACTTTAATTAACTTTAATATTTATTAAGTCTGATATAAGAATTTTATAATTCTATCCATAACATCTACATATGTCATATGATATGAGGGTCACCAAATAAGGGCTTAGATCAGGGCTGGCGAACCAAAGGTACGCGTGCCATTGATGGCACGCAACAAACACCCAACATTATAGCTCAGAAGTGCCAAAAAACAGACAGTGATCAACAAAATCCACAAAAGACATTCGATTCTTGAGTTCCAGTGCAAGCTTTGTGATGTTGTGGTTGTAATATAATGGTCGTAGTCACAAAAATAGTGATAGGCTTATACGTGGTTTGCAAAATTAATGGTTTTTACGGATATTTGCCAGAAATTATTGAATTTCAACGTAAAGCATGAAGGCGCTAATAATTGCGTTCCTTATCTCCCAGAAATAGTCAGAAATAGTCCGAAGTAGTCAGAGTTAGTCCAAAAAGCGTTTCTTAACCCGAAAATTACAGCAAAAGTGAGAGAGCAACACGCAGTGAGAGTCACTCTCTTCAGTCCGAAGTAGTCAGAAGAATTTTTGCTGGCAAAATCATGAAAATTGTCAAACCCAACTGAATTTAAATTAACGGAAATTAAAGAATACACGAAAAGTGAGAATAATCTAAAAACTAAAGAAAGTGAATTGAAAATGGAAGGAGACAAAAATTTAATGATATATGTAGTAAGTTTTTATTATGCTTGCGCTTGTGTGAATGTGTTTTGTGCATACATTTCTATTCTTATTTGACGTTAGTTTTGTTGTTCCTTTGTTCTTTGGACTAAAAAGTTGGTTTTTTGCGTTCCTTTACTTTTTCTTGTTATTCCCCTTTAGTGAGCGCATTTTGTTAGAAGGTGTTCGCACGGGCGATTTTGCGTTCAACTTTTGCGTTCAACTCACGCAGGGTTGCACGAAAAGAGTTGAATGGCTAAATGTTGGCCTTTTTATGGCGAATATTTTGATATTTTTTTATATTTTGATATTTTTAGTCATTCAATTTTTTTCGTGCAACCCTGCGTGAGTTGAACTCAAAAGTTTCAAACTCTTGTTCAAGGTGTTAAGCATTTTCTTCCACACAGTGTGTTTGCTTATTTTTTTTTATGGAAGCACCCTCGGCAAAAAAAATCTAAAATCAACGCGATTTTTCAGAAACTTTAAACTTGCAGCTTGTTATAACAAAAATTATTGGGGTACAAAAATATTTAAATATTGATGAAAATTTATTGAATTATTATAAATTTTGTAGTTTGTATTGTGACCGCAAATTCCACAGGCAAACACCGATGGCTTACCAACAGTCATTTTGGCGAGCAATATGATTGCAATTTTTTTTGTGTTGGCACTTTGATGTCTTGATATAAGCATTGCCGCATGACGCCACCAGACAACATTCCCTCAATTTCGGTCTTTAAAAACATTTAAATTGGAGTAACTTAAATACAAAAAAAATAAAAAATTTAAAATTTACAAAAAAACTTGCTGCATAATTTCCTAAAACGTAATCATAAATAATCCAGCAGGGAAAAGATTCCTATTTTGATTTAATATCAAAATTTCATCGGTGTTACCACCAGCGCATTTTCTTTTAAAAGAAAATATGGTTGTCAAACTATCAAATTGCCTGCAATAGATGTCAAGCAATAAGCGCTAACATATATTGCAGCCCATGCGAAATAGGCGGTCTCCACTGGAAATATATTTTGTGACATGGTTATCGCGACATCAGTGTTTTCCTTTGGAGACAGGGCCCTAGTGTTAGGGATTGTTATTAAAATGTTAGTTTATTTATTTGTCCTTGTTTTTATTCTTAAGTTTGCGGATGTATGTATGGACATATCTTATTGTACTTATGCTTATACATTTAATAAATGAAATGAAATACTGTCCGAAAATCGGTTTGACATATGTAGTTTTTGTTATAGAATACATGTATGTATGTTATATTTTTATAAAAAATAAACGAATATTAAATAAACGAAAGGAAAACTGTCAATACTAACGATGAAAACGGGGCGCTACTCAAGTGGCCGACACTGTATATCCAAGTTATGTAACCTGTTACGATGTGGTTTAACTTCCTTGACATGTCGGGCTAGTATTTTTGCATCGTTTGTCGAACGGTCAAATGTTCATGGATTATTGTATGAATGGTAGGAGCGTGAATGCCTAGGTCGCCCTAGTTTCACTATATGCCACATGACGATCTTCTATTATCGCCCTGCGCATAGCGTCGATGTTTTCTGATGTATAAAGCGATCTCAATGTTCATCGGCGCACGAAATACGACCACGCTATAATGCATTATACGGATCATAAACAGTAGCCCTTGATAGCATTTCATCACCAAAAGTCAAAACAAGTACATCGATGCACTGTTGTTTGGTTAAGTTATAAACAAACAACAAACAAAAACTATCTATTGAAATATTAATTTGTTTGATAAAAAATTTAAAATTTTCGATGCGAACATCAGATGTACTTAAATGACCTATAGTCTTGCAAAATCTAAAGCCTTGTTTAGTGCCGTTTTATAATCAAAATACACACAGCTATTGTTATGTTTTTAATAGTTTAAATAAAACTATTTATTACTTTAACATTGACTTACTTAAAATACTTATTTTCATTTCACTACCCCATACCACATTTAACTCATCCCAGTTAAGATCCAAGGTTTATGCAAGTTATTACTCACCCTCCTCCTTCACTACTTGTGACTTTACGAGCTGTTTTGAAACAAAGATGATGTCATGCACAGAGCGATTACTTTTGTATAGTGCATCAACTTTGTTTTAGATTTATAGATTTTGACTAAGGCCTATATTTTTTTGGATTTCTTCTTTGTGACTGCATT